ACAAGGAAGAATGGCATAAACTGAAAGAGGGTAGATTTAGATTAGATATTAGGAAGACATTCTTTCCTGTGAGGGTGCTGAGGCACCGGCACAGGTTGTTCAGAGAAGCTGTGGCTGCCCCATCCCTGGCAATGTTCAAGGCCAGGTTGGATGGAGCTTTGAGCAACCTGGTCTAGTGTGAGGTGTCCCTGCCTATTGGAACTAAATGAGCTTTAATGTCCCTTCCAACCCAAACCATTCTGTGGTTCTATGAAATATTGAAACCTAGTAACCAGAGTGAAACTCATGCTTTAAAGAAGACATGAGATGCTGCAGCCATGTGTAATTCTAGGATGCCTAGTCTTATTTTTCAACGTCTTTTCCCTCTTGTTTGTACAAAACCATTTAGTCATGAACTTCTCAACTCATGGATCCCTCTTCCCCCTGAAGGCGACCTCAGACATCAAGAGCTCTCAAAGTATGAATTGTGAGGGTAAGTAAGTGAGTGGAATGTGAGAGCATCCACTTCATTACCAGGCCCCAACTCTTTAGTTTAGAAGAAACAATAGGTAACAAGGAAAGTGGTAAAATAAACACGCAGATGCACAAACCTAACAATAGGTGATAAAGGAGACAATAAGAAAGAGCAGAGCTCTGCAGCTGCTGGTTGATGGGCCATCAGCGGTGGCCCTGGGGCGGCTGGCAGAGGGGCAGCCCCAGTTCTCTAACCAGAGTCAAGGGACAAGTCTGCCCAGGCTGTGCTGGGGCCTTGCGGGGAGACATGGGGGTCCGCCAAACTCATGGTGGGGTATCAGAAGGGGCTCGTAGGACCGTGAAAAAATTGCTATAGGGTGTTTAGAGGAAGGGCTAAAGGTGGAGAAAGGTGGTGGTGGTCATCAGGGTGGATTGAGGAGGAGTAAGTGTGGAAAAACAGCGGGGAGGGGTATTAAAGGGGCTGGTCGTGTGTGCAAGCTGCCAAATGTGCTTGTCTGACCGAGCTTCTACTAGATCACTGCAGTCTGTCCTATCCTCATATTAAATCTTTGACTTAACTTTTTTCGTATTTTCTGTGAAATCTCACTTTGTATCCTATGTGTGAGTGCTGCAAGTCCTGAGTGCTAGCAACTGGAGAAGGGACCCATAGGTCTTGGTGCCAGCAACTAAAGAGATCAATAGGCAAGAGAGGTGTGGGTCATCCCAGCTGGAGGGACTGTAGGCCAGAAGGCTTGTAGGTCTGGGTGTTTAGGTGTCAGAGGGGCCAGGGTGTGTGTTTATGTGGGAGAGGTCTACAGCAGTACGTGTAAATACCCCAATTGACTTAATCCTGTGTGCATGTGTATGTGTGATTGTACATCAAATTTTAAGTTGGACTAGTTGGTGAGCAGGAGGAAGCCTGCATCTGGAAGGACCTGATGTCTGAGCCCATGCTGGATAACGGGACCCAGGGTCTGGGCATGTGTGGACTGAGAAGCTGTGCTAATATTCAGTGAATCCATGATCGTGGGGACGCTTGTGAGACAAGCGCGTAGTGCACGCATCTGCTTGCTAGCAAATGTCAAGGTGGAGAGTAGGAGGAGACCTTCTTACCAGGTAAGGGAGCCCAGGTATGTGTATTAGAGAGCTTTACAAGCTGGGCTGATATTCAAGGATCTGTGAATGTGACTGTGCTTGTGAATGTGGAAAGCGAGGGTAAAGTTTTCATAGAGAACTTCAATCCTCAGCCAAGAGAAGCAACAGGACTGGGCTTGAAAGTAGGAGTAAAGACCAAGGCCATAGTCAGAAGAGTGGTGGTAGTAAGTCAATGAGCCCATAAACAGTCAGGGCTAGGGAAAACAATGCTACGTGTCATTAGGCAGCTAATATATGGTCTCTAATGACACAGTAGAGAATTAATGAGATATGAATGGGAATATATGCTGGAAAACAAACTAGATTTTTATCTGTAGGGATTAAATATCAGATTTCCAGTAGGAATGGAAAACAAGAAAAAGAAGTACAATATAGTCTCCTTACATTAGAAAATGGCTGAGATGGAGGCTAGATCGGTCACATATATTCAGGAGGACATGGAGAAACACTATCACAAAATCAGAAGAGAGACTAATCTCTTGTTTACACAGATAGCCAATGTGTATCTTTTATAGTTTAGGAACAGGGTATTCGAGCATGGAGATAAAATAAAGTCCTTCTCAGTGTGGTTTATAAGTAGTAATAAATTGGTCAGGCTGATACTGAGGATTAAAAATGCTGAAGAT